ACAGTTCTATGATTATGTATTTTCTTGATCATGTGAGTCTAGATTCTTTCATAGAATAGCTTATCAAGTGTGTTGTTTATCAAATACAAGCTATCTTTGTAGAAATAATATAACATAAAACTCAGTCATCTGAGAGTTCATTCCGTCACTGTCATCCCTGGGCCCCATGAGCAGAGAAGATCCCCAGAACGGTGGTGAAACATCTCATTTTCACAACATCATGGGTAGAAAGAATGTTGAGGCCTACTGGAGAGCTTTAGTTACTTACTTGCAAATATAACACATTTTTAAACACTATGATTCATCAATTTAAATGTATACTAGAAAGAAGGCATACTTTGTTTTGAGGGTGACAGCTGGGAGTCTTAAAATGATCAGTAGGGAAAGAGCCTGACAACCATCATGAACAGAAATAACGTGAATGGTCAGGGTAACTTAGTTAATGAGACATTAAACCAAAAGATGCCTCCTGAAAAATCAAAAGTTAAACTCCAGTAGACAGCAAAAAGCAAGAGAGGACTAAAAGAGACTATTAGCTTCGAATCTAAACAAACTAAGTCAAGAGAACTGAAAAGTCCACTGGCTACGCTTTGTTTTAAGGACCTCTGTAAAGATAATGTCTCAGCCATAGGGTTTGGGACAATTGCATTATCCTCTTCCTCATTTCCATTCTTTTTAAGATTTATAAAGCAAACACATAACTTGAAGATTAGTATATAGTGTGTTTTTCTGAATGGCAAATCAGAAAGAAAATAGAATTCTATATAGAACAGGTAGTTTTATTTAGAAACACATGATCACAGTTTTCCTATTTGACAACCCTTAGAGAAACCACTGAAGGCTCTTTGTTAGTGCCTCTATCGTATTTCCAGCTACTTTAAATTGCTCTTCACTACGAGTCCTCATACTAGCCATGAAATGAATGTCGTTCCCTAGTGAAGACTCATTGTTTAGTGCTCAGAAATGAACAGTTGTCCCGAGACATATGCACAATATCCTGAATGTTTTCCGAGCCTGAGACTGTTCTTCAGTGCAAATTGTAAGTGGCTATCTTGAATTCCAAAAGCCATGGGACCCCTGAGGTCCTTAGTTCTAAGGATCCACAAATCTAAATATTAGATAAATCCATTGTACTGAATGCCAAACCAGTCAAAACTGGATATAAAAAAAGTCTGCTACTAATTTTGGTCAGGAAGAAATAAGTTAAAGAATGATTAGTTGTAGCTTGGGTTGGGTCCTCTGGAATTGAGAACAAGGACAAAGAACACAGAAGCAGGACAGCACTGGGGCAGTTCCTCGGACCCTGTCATGATTATTTTTAAGCAGACGTAGGGTTGGCATGATTTTCTGAAACTATTTTTTTAAATTAAACTTTTATATGGATATATTTTAAAATACAGTCTCTTTCCTCCCCTTTAAGTTACACTGTCATTTTCATGCTGCTATGGAGAACTGGTTTTGAAAAGGACTTAAGCACTTTTCCCTGGCCATTGCGGCTTCTCTTTCTGTGCGTCTATTTTTCTCTCAAGCACTTGGTCTGGGTCCAGCACCCCTGCAGTCCCCTGCTATTTCTCTGGTAGGTAACAGCTTTCTCTCAGCAACGGGAGACTCTGGAGGCTTAACTTTCATATACTCACCCCAGAAATCTGTGCCATGTCAGAGAGAAAGAGGATTTGGAAATTAAGAAAAAGTGACTGTGAACACTTCTGAGAGATTAGGGCTAGTTTTTCATAGTGATCCTGAAATTTCTTTCAGGTTTAGAGTCCTCAAAAATTTTATTTTTTATCATCTCATTTTATTTTTTTAAATTGAAAAGTAAAATCAAATATGTTAATTGTGTATGACAGAATGTTTTTAAATATGCCATTTAAGCATTGTGGAATGGCTGGATCCAGTAATGAAAATACGCAATACTCCCATAGTGACCATTTTTGTGTTAGAACACTTAAAATCTATTCTCTTGGTATTTTTCAAAAATACAATGTATTATTATTTTTTTTTCCCCGATATACAGTGTTACTGTGTTGCCCTGGGCAAAGTGCTAGGGCGTTATGATAGCTCACAGCAACCTCTAACTCTTGGGTTCAAGAGATCCTCTTGCTTCAACCTCCCAAATAGCTGGGACTATAGGTGCCTGGCTAGTTTTTTGCATTTGTAGTAGAGATGGGATCTCGCTCTTGCTCAGGCTGGTCTCAAACTCCTGAGCTCAAGCAATCTACCTGCCTTGCCCTCCCAGAGTGGTAGGATTACAGGTATGAACCACTGCACTTACCCTACAATATATTGTTATTAACTGTTAACTGTTTTGTGCAATAAATCTTTTGTACTCATTCCTCCTAACTGAAAATTTGTATACTGTGACCAACATCTCCTGAACCTGCTCCCACGTACCACGACTGCTTTCCTAGCTTCTGGTAACCACCCTTCTGCTCTCTATTCCCACGAGTTAAAAGTTTTTAAATTCAATTTTTCATGTTTGTGCAAGTTTCGATTATTATAAACTACTGACAGGAAACAAGTCTTCTAATATGCTTTTTATTTGTTAGTAAGATTTTCCCCTTTTGAAAAGGATAAATGGAGAATAACTGAGCTCAACCTCACTGTTGTCATCAGGGACAAAACATTAAGAAAGCCATATAGGTTTAGAGAATTGGATAGAAACTTCTCTGAAGAAGACAAGTGCAAGGCCTACAGACACATGAAAACATGCTCATTATCCTTAATCATCAGAGAAATGCAAATCAAAACCACTTTGAGATATCATCTAACTCCAGTAAGAGTAGTCCATGTCACAAAATTCCAAAACTATAGATGTTGGTGTGGATATGGAGAAAAGGGAACACTTCTGCACTGCTGGTGGGAATGCAAACTAATACATTCTTTTTGGAAAGAAGTTTGGAGATCACTTAGGGATCTAAAAATAGACCTGTCATTTGATCCTGCAATTCCTCTGCTAGGTATATATCCAGAAGACCAAAATCACTTTATAACAAAGATATTTGTACCAGAATGTTTACTGCAGCCCAATTCATAATTGCCAAGTAATGAAAGAAGCCCAAGTGCCCATCAACCCACAGATGGATCAATAAATTGTGGTATATGTACACCATGGAATATTATGAAGCTTTAAAGAAAGATGGAGACTTTACCTCCTTCATGTTTACATGGATGGAGCTGGAACATATTCTTCTTAGCAAAGTATCTCAAGAATTGAAGAAAAGTATCCAATTTACTCAGCTCTACTATGAAACCAATATATAATCACCTACACTTCCATATGAAAGCTACAACCCAATTACAGCCCAGATGAAGGCAGAAGAGGAGAAGAGTAGGGGAGGGGGAGGATGGGTAGAGGGAGGGTAATTGGTTGGACCACACTATGGTGCATTTTACAAGGGTACATGTCAAATCTACTAAGTGTAGAGTATAAATGTATTAACACAATAATTAAGAAAGTGTGGTGAAGGCTATGTTAACCAGTTTGTTGTATTTCAAATTGTATATAAAACCAGTACATTGTACCCCATAAATGCATTAATGTACACAGCTATGATTTAATAAACATATATATAAATCTGAGTCTATGGGTAGGAGGAGTAGAGAGGGGTTTTCTTGCACATAGGAAAAGCCAGTGATAATCCTTAAAATTTGACTATAAATGTTAGCATTTCTATTGTAGACGTAAAATCCAGAGCCCCAAACCACAAAGTTTGGAGAAGAACTCTTTGCTTTTCACTGTATAATTTTTGTGCCCTAACTCTCACAAGTTCTCTAAGTTGGAGAATCTTTACTATAGGAGCGGTCTGAATGTCAACTTTGACCAAATTGTGATCACTGATTGCTTTTCCTCTCCATTTCTCTCCCTTTCGCAATGTATAACTGTGTGATTAGGGGTCGGTGCTAGAAAATGCCTAAATTTTCCAATTCAGAATTAAATTTGCAAACAAGCTATCAAAAGTAAATTATTTGTCACCTAATCCTTTTCGTTTTCCCCAGTGACTCTTCGCCAGAAACCAGTTTGCTGGATAAGGGATCAAAAGTACTAAAAACAGCAGAATTATAATCATTTGCCTAAACAAAGAAATCGACTTAAGCCTGTTGAATGGACTCTCTATTTCTTGCACAGTGTGAAATGTTTTACATCCTCTGTCTGCCAGTTCTGGTTCTTTAATTCTGCTCATTATATATAAAAAGCCTCCCATCCCATTTTCAGCTTCCTTTTTTTTTTTCTTTTAACAGAAATGCTGGCATGCAGCTTACCTCCAGGAATAGCTCAAGCTGATGCTCTCAATTTAGTCATGAGAATTACATTACATTTCTTTCCTTGCTGGAAACATTCTTTCCCAATTTCTACACTCATGACCCTATGAGAGCTAGCTGATTTCAATCGAAACGAAACATACATCTTTGAGGAACACACAGGAAGAAGCATATTTTATCACAATATCCACTCACATCGTAAGCTATGGAATTATTGTTTATCTTCAGGAATACCTTTTCCTTTGACAAAGAAGGCTTTGTACGTAAAGCTCAGCTCTACTACACTGAAATATGCCCATGTATTAGGTTGAAAAGCCTTTCAAATCATGGTAACATATAAGAATGGTGGAACATTTTTAGCAAATTCTTACATTAGAAAAATACCTACTAGCAGGGGTTATAAAATAAATTGAAAAGAACCCAAGAGACCTCTTGTATGGTCTTTTATTTTTCATCATACAGTTCTATTTCTGAATCTTTTTATCAGTCACTCTTGAAAATATAAACTTTTTTTCTCTTTTCAAAGAATGTATTGAATTAATCTGCCTGTTGAAATCAGCAAGATGAAAGTAAAAACCTTAGATGTGTACGTTGTTAACGGGCCACATAACTCAGTTATATATATTCAAAATAATACTTTTCCAACCATATATTTAATCAATTATGAAACTTTTGTCATAAGCACAGGTGGCTATCTCCCTGTTTTATCAGACAATATCCCGAGTATTCTGTATACTTACAGAAGCACAGTTTTCCGACTTGTCTTCTACAAAACCAATTTGGCAGGGGGTCCTCTGATTCTGCAGCCAGTAGTCTGTTGACTCAAGCAAGCTATTGCTGCGAAGGACCTGGGGGGACCAAGGAGACCTCAGTGCTTATTTGGCAAAGATTTCTACTTAATTAAGCAACTCTTAAAAAAAATTACAGGTGTATTCCTACAAGCATCCTATACAAGAGAAAAACTTTCAGCGTAATAGCAATGATAAAGTATGTGAAATATTGACTTGAGAGTGGGAGGAATAGATTGATATTAACGCTGGTGTTTCTGATCTTGTCAAATCCACCAGCTGGAAACTTCAGCATCTGTGTGTGTTTTGGATAATCTGTAATCACATGATGACTTGGGGGTATGGTGCGCTGGGCAACAGGGATCAAACTTCACTTAGGGTTAGTATTCTTTCATACTCTTTTGAACATTTTCTATTTAAAAAATATAGTGGTTTTCTTGGTGGTACAGTATTGATTCTTCTTCAGCTCTGCTAATATAGCTTTGAAATAAGGTATTTTCTTTCTAGAATACCTAGGATACTATATTAAGTTTAAAAAGTATTAGGAAGAAGTAAGTTGCATTCAAATAACCATTTTCTATAAAGAAGTAGCATGATAGGGCAAAAGAATTTGAATACAGAAATTAACATTACCCACCATGATTACAAAGCCTATTTCTGGGCTTAGATTGTTGAAGCAAAGAACAAGCATATTTTGGAACCAAAATATTTTGAAGATAAAATCATAAATACCCAAATGATTCAACTTCAAATGTGTCTTTACATTATTCAAAAACTACATAAATTTGTTCTCATCTTACTTAAGACTCCCAATGCTTCTACAGTACTCTCTGTTTTGTTTGGGTACATGTCTGCTAATATGGGACGACCACGTTCACTTAGGCGACATAAAAAATGTAATCGCAAAGAGATTGAGACCTCGATTACATTTCCTTTGTACGCACACAACAAAGGACTGTTGTTTTTTGTTTTGTAAAAATGGAGATACATTAGCACGTTAACTTTTGTCTCTGCACAGAATTAACCAAATATAATCATGACACATTTTTGTTTTAGACGTTACTTTTAAATCTTTTCCCACTCAATGTTTATTATTACCAAGCGATGATAAATTTTCATCATTCTTTTCTGCAATAGCACAAAGAAACACTGTGTGGATGGGGAGATAATTGAAGGATAAACATGGCTTATTGCAGCAGACTAGCACTGGCTATGGACTTTCTCAGTTCACTTAAAGATTTTCCAGTGCAGTGGGGGCTTCGACCTCTATGGGCCCCTGAGGCCTTTCAGAGGGGTCAGCAGTCAAACTATTTTTTATGATAATACTAAGACGTTATTTGTCCTTTTTATTCTCATTGTCCCGCGAGTATTCAGTGGAGTGTTTCAGAGGCAACATGATATGTGATAGCTCAACAGACTGTAGCAGCAGCTAGAGGGGCTCTGCTGTCCTCTATTAAATCAGACATGAAGGAGATTTTCAAACATGTTAAATGGAAGTCATTCTTCTTGCTAAAAGGCTTTGCTTCGGAAAACATAAACACATTGACATAACATGGTTGTACAAAATATTTATCACTATTTTTAAATTGTCATTGGTATTTGAAAATGAAACAAATCAAAATCTCAGCTTTAATTTGTTATATGAAAAATATCACTAAGTATAATCAATATAAACGAAAGCTTTTCCATTAGAGTGCAAAAGAATTTTGGGTTCAAACATTGAGAGCCATTGACATAGATGAGTATTATTCACAGTAGAAGAGGCTCCTAGTCTACATCCTGTATTGTCTCTTACTTTTAATTCCAGCACAGAATGAAGTGTAAGAGGATGGGTTAGGTAGTCTAACTGGGATGACCTTGGGCAGGTCACTTTCACTTTGTTTCAACATCTGTGAATGGGGAGGATAACACCCAGCTGGTGGGTTCACTGGGGTATTCAGGGAGATGCTACGTGTGAAACACTGAGCCACACAAATGGAAAGTTATCCTCTCACGGCTATTTGAGGGAAGTCACAAAGGACAATAGAAAGATGGGTGCCTTCCATCTGCAATTAGAGGATTGAAAGTGTTCAGATGGGTTAAGGCAAAGTTTCTTTAGTAAACATTGTGGTCTAAGGGGTAATTGTGAGCCACGCATTTTGTATCATGGATAGTTACAGCTACTATTTGTGCATATTTAGAATCTCCTGAGAATTGTGCTGATTTTTTTATACTTATTTTTCTTATAGCGTTATAAGGTAGGAATTATTTTAAAGATAAAGATCTCTACAAAAATTCTCATTTTGAAGATGAAGAACTTGAGACCCAGACAGATTGGGGTTTCTGCCCAATTTGTTTGGAGTCTGACTTTGGATCTGGTCTTGAAGACACCAAGAGCTATGTGTGAAATTACTAAACAGGGCTGCCTTCCATTCCCATACAAATGGGTCAGATTTGGTGTGTGTTTCTGAAAAATGCAGTTTTTCGTTTTTATGGACTTCTATGTTAAAGTTAGTTTTTCATTAATGAAATTCTAAGGTCAAATTTTCCTTATAGGAGGAGATTTTTTTGTGATGTAAATTATGCAATTTAATTGATCTACTTGGCAAGTCTTATCACTATTTTAATTTCCGAAGGGAAAAGATGCTTTTACATTTATCTAAGTTACCGTTAGACAAACTGAGATCACCAAGCTTCTGCTCCTATGCTCTCTTTGGTCCTTGGAATTTTGAACACCCATCAATAAAACCAAGCACTTTATTGACTCTCCATCATAAACACGTTAGAAACTTAAACTACAGGCATCAGACCTGACAGGGCAGTTTTATTAAAGAAATTTTGTTAATTTTCTGACCAGAAACACTTCTTGGTCATTCCAAAGCTCACCTTCGAAATTCAGGCCCTTGTCTACATTCTAACATATTCAGGGCACATAGTGTCATGGTTACAACAAAATGTCAACAGAAAAAATCAACCGTCACTTATCAGTGTTTGACTTATTCTTGTCCTGGGTCAGCCTCAGGTAGGGGACAGAGTTCAAAACACAATTCTCCTGAGCCATTCAGGAAATTAGTGTGCTGAGTGGGCACATTTTCCTTATGAAAAACCAAGAGGTGGAGGTGGGGTTGGTGAAAGTCCTGGGTCTGACACCTCCCACTGCGAGATTCAGTCCTGAGTCTGACACCTCCCACTGCGAGATTAGGTCCTGGGTCTGACACCTCCCACTG